CGATTTTTCATTATTTTTTGGCTTCACCGAATGCCTTCAAAATAAACAGCCAGGTAGCTTACATAACAAATAACTCACAAAACAAAATGCAGGAAAACATAATAATGTTTAGGTACCAAAATAGACCCGAACGCCCGAACGTTCGGGGGTCAGCTTAGGGGCCTCCGTACGTTCGGCCTCGCAACCCTGTATTTATATATATGTATAATAAAATAAACTTAAAAGAAACAGAATATATATATATATATATATATATATATATATATATATATATATATATATATATATGTATATGTATATTTACAATAATACAATAAATAATTAAAACTAATGACTAGTAAAACAATAATTATAATAAACAATACTAATGGCATGTAAAGATATATTCCCTACTAATAAATAAACATAATACTCATAATCACTATAAATTAAGCAAAAAAAAGCATACCCCCCGCTATACCCCACTACAGCCTTCACAAATACAAACCCCCAACACAGAAATAGAACATCACACCCCAAATCCTCGCAACACAAACAACAAGCTACACACCTATACACCATATAGACAACACCTCACGTACCGGTTATGGGATATGAACCCTCGCAAAACGCATTCGAAAAAAAGAAAAACAAAACGCACCCACACACGAAAAAAAGCCCCAAACGTTTTACAAAAGAGACACCAAGGTAACATACGAAACGACGCCCACGCAGCACCTCATCGAAACGACGCATCTGACAAATCCCAGTACAAATGTGCACGCAAACACAACAGACAAACCTCAACACTCCCTGCCTCTTCCAGAGTTGAACCATCTCCAAAAAAACGACGAACCGATACACATCGAGACAAGAACAAACCCAGTTGACCACCACCACCACTGCCATACCCGCGCAAGCTCCCTCCGCACCGCTGACAATCTCACTACCCCTCTCCCTAGACAGGAACGACAAATACACGCACCATCGTTAAAAGAGCGCCTATCCCATATACGAAAATGAGCAACCATACCGAACACCTCGCCCCAAACTAAGCTATACTTGAATACCCCCCACCCAAAAAAACTTGCCCCCTTGAATAGAGTTATCTCGGCCGCCCCCACCCTATACCATCCTAGTTAAACCAAAGCGAGGCGCACACTGTATTAAAACACATGACACATATTCATGGCATGCACGCCTCACCTCGCAAGAACTGCCTTCGAAAACGCTAGCATGCAGACTACCCTGCGCAATACCACGCACATACAAGCTCGCTTGGAAGCTGACCTCCAAGCGCTCCTGTTGCGTTCTCCCACGCCTTCCTTACGCTGGCACACAACCTTGCTAACTGTTCTTCCTCCTGAGTCTGGTGTGGCACATTGCAGTGCCTTTCACGCTGAGCTTGCGCTGCAGGCTACGTAACATCACGCTGCTCGACCACGATACGAGCTATGGCGGCGACTGATCTTCCAACGACACCAACCATGACCCCTTAGGTATGGAATGTAATGCCTTCTTCCACCTACAACCCCCTGACGACCTTTATCCCCCCAACCCCTATGCTAACAGGAGCCTTAACAAAGTTAATCCCCCTGATGAGCTGCTATGGGTGCTAGGCGGTGAAAACCGCGCTTAAGGGCGTGCACCCCCCCTACGGCTGGGCATTGCCCTTTCCTAATTCCTAACCCACTAACATTAAACAACCTAATCATTGCTCCTATAATGCAACACATGTCCCCCATAGCTGAAACGCTATCTAACACAATCCTAATGGACGATCTTGTGTTGGGTCCTGTTTCCCACATTCTGTGGGATAGTTGTGTTACGTACACCCACCCCCCCCCCACACACCCGGATCTCTGATCCTGTTGCTATGTAAGGGGTCGACTCCCCTACTGGCAGGACTACATAAACTCAACTAACGCTTCTTCTCCCGACTCTAATAAAGGATGTGTTGCACTGGACCTAATGTTAACATACTTCCTCACCCCCTACCCCCTACCCCCACCCCCAACCTGACTGCTATCTCTGCAGAAAAATTACAGCTTGTTGCATTGCTTCTCGAACGTAATTACCCCTGCTTTACAGCACAGCTACCTGTATTCCTCCCCTCCCCAACAATACATTACATAAAACCTACCTCCTCAACCACCGACCGTGATCTCACCATATACCCAATGTTCTAAACTCTGCTCGGTACATCCTACTCGCCGTTATTGGATAAAATCACCTACCCGCCTCCCCCGCCTAGCTCTGCCCTGCTCTGTCTTCCTAAATCACATAGGAGACTCTAGCAACCTGATATGCTCTTTATCTGGCAGGATATCATACTCACACGGAGATGAGGGTGGCAAAGATTAGCGTGCCTAATAGTAGTATAACTTGAGATTCTTAGTTAGTATAAATTAGAGAACGCTAGAGCGAGTTTATAAGGTTAGAGCAGTACCATTGTAAGACCCTTAATGATCAAGGTTTACTTCGTATATAGGCAACATTAAGATCCGTCACGAGATGTATGTGCACGTGTCTCGTCGCTCATGACCAATATTAGTATGCATCCCTATTGCGTTGTAGATCATAAAGCAGTTAATGCAATTAGTGAACAACTTAAATATTACGTTTTCGTAGCATCTGGAATCTAACCATAAAATGTTTGGTAAACACATATGATGACCTCCACAAAGATCTACGACCATGATTGTATCGATATAAACTTCGGTTGTCTGTTATTCACATGTGGTTTTACTCAGTACGGGATGCTGTCGTATCGTAGCATGAAATACCAACTCGCGCCCCTGGTTAATTCCTAATACACATACACATGAGTAGAAACTTGGAAAGTTATCATGTCCGACAGTGAGCGATTATACATGGTGATTTCAATTCACAATGATACACAGGGTGCTATTTGGTTTTGTATATATTAATGTTAGAGGATATTGATCATAAGGAGCTAGTAAAACATAATAAAAAATATTCATTGTAGTGCGAACTTTAATGGATAACAGGTTGGCTACTAAATTTTATGTGCACGAAACTTTAGGAATCTTTAGCAATCATCATTTTTACATAATACAGGAGTTGTCACGCATTTTTCCACGTATTGTTTCACGCATTTTCACGCATTTCACGCTTTTTTTCACGCATTTTTCACGTATTTTTCACACACTTTTCACGAATTTTCCACGCATGTTTTTACGTATTTTTTTCACATATTTTCACGCATTCATTCACGTATTTTCACGCAGTGTTTCACGTGATTTTCACGCATTCTTTCACATTTTTTTCCGCACACTTTTTCACACAATTTCCTTCACTCTCCTTCTAAATCGCATCGGTAACTATATTTACACGCTCCAAAACCCATGACAACCGCAGTACCCACTGAGATATGAAAAATGACCGTGCCATTATTTTCAGAAAACCCCACTGCAAGTACCCATACTTTACCCTCAATATCCTAGTTCGATCCCTGGTTCCTAGTAAATGAATTCCCTACACTTTTTCCGGCCTTTGTTCTACGGATACCTGCGATAAATATGCATGGTGTGATTTGGTGTGATATTTATTAATGTCAGATTGATAGCATAATCATAAATGCTCATACTAGGACGAGCTTTAATGGGTAACAGGGAGGCTACTAAATCTTGTATGTGGGAATTTTTTAGGAAACTTTAGCAATTATTTTTTACGTAATACAGTAATTTTCACGCACATAAGCGCCCTCGAGTAGGACTGAGAATACAACCGCACGCATCTTCGTGTTACACCGCTGCAGCGCCAGCTTGCGCGCTCTAGACTCCATCACCCCTCACCACGAGTCCCCTCTGTTTCCCTTCTCGCATGAGCACTCTTGCTCGCGAGCTACATTGGGTACCTGGACTCGGTCGCACGCAATACAGTGCCTCGTGCGCTGTGCTTACAGTGTAAGCACTGCCATTGTGCTTCACGGCTACTACTCCAGCTATGACGGCAACTGACCTTCCGGCGACACCAATCCTGACAACTCAGGTAAGACTCCTTAATTCTATCTCCCCCAAACGCCTATTATGCTTCACCATGCTACCCCTTACCCCCTCCCCCCCCAAAAAAAAACCCCAACACCCAATCCTAACAGGAGCCTTACTAAGCTAACCCCTCTGATGAGCTGCTATGGGTGCTAGGCGGCGAAAAGCGCGCTTAAGGGCATGCACCCCCCCTATGGTTGGGTTCTTATACCCTTCCCTAACCTATACTAATCCGCTAACACTAATTCCTAAACTGCTCCTTAAACTTACATCCTGTTGTGCCAATCCTGTACCTAACTAAAGGACAAAAGTGGCTATGTCTAATGTCCCATACTCTTGGTGTTTTTACACAACCCCCCC